TGGCCATCCAGAGACACTGGTCAACCTCATTGTCCTGTCACAACACCTGGGCAAGCCCCCTGAGGTAGGCCCCCCTTCACCTCCTCACCAGCCCAGCCCACAGCCAGGTGCAGGGGTCCCAATCCCTGCGGAGCTGATCCAGGGTGTGGTTAGGGGCTCAAGTCAGCCTGAGGTTAGGGCAGAAACCCGCTGTCCACCAAAAGGCCCCAGGATCAGTGGTGTGTGTGTCCTCTGGGCAAGATGGTGGGCCAGTGGATCCTTAGGGTCCACTAGATGGGTGGACTCAGGGCTGCCGGAGTGGGGCTGACTGGACTGGGACCCCAGCTGGTGCCCCTTCAGGGTGAGTGTGGGCACAGGACAGAGAAGACCCAGGAGGGTGACTATTGAGCCCACCTCACTTGAGGCGAAAAGTGAGGCCATGCGATGATCATTCACTGGTGCCTGAGAAAGGCTCCTCAGGCAGGAGCAGGGCATAGGTGGTGTGGGGAGAGAGAGTCCCGAGATGCTCTGGACCCCAGTCTCAGGGAGACAAGGACACTCCCCAGCCCCGGGCAGTTGGGTGGAGGCTGGGCTGAGGCTGAGAGCAGGCTCTGCTTGAGGTCCAGGTTCTAGTCCCCAGGCCTCTGGTGAGCCTTGGTACAAAGTATGCCCAGAACAAGTTCACCCCCCCTCAGACGGCCATCTCCCTCATGTCTCTGTCCCATCCCTCCTGGCATGGCCTGGCCACTGTCCTCCTAGGGCCTTTTCTGGCCCGCTGCCCTGAACCCTGTGGTGCAACCAACCCCGTGCAGAGCGGCTCCGTGCCAGGCACTGTTCCAGGGTGTTCTCTACTCCCTGCCTGAGGCTCCTCCGTCATCAGCCCAATCCAGGATGGGGTGAGGAGCCCCCAGGGAGATGGAGGAACACGGGGCAGGAGCAGCCCACTCCTTTCTGGGGTGGGGGGGACCCCGCCCCACCCTCTCTACCCTTAGGTCAAAGCTGCCTTGGGATCCCCATTTTTGGCTAATCTTGCCCCACTTCCCCCTCAGGTGACCAATCGATACTTGTCACAGCTGAAGGATGCCCACAGGTCTCACCCCTTCATCAGGGAGTATCAGGCCAAGGTGAGCAGAGGCCTGTCCTAGGCTCCCAGCCTAGCTGGGCCGGCTGGCCTCATGTGTGCCTGCGTGGGCTCTCGCAGGTTCCCTCCCCGCCATTCCCTCCCCCTCCTCCCCTTCCTCCCCCTCCTCTCTCCCCTCCCCCTCCTTCCCCTCTCCCCCTCCTCCCTCTCCTCCTTCTCCTCCTCCTCTCCTCCTCTCCACCCTCCCTCTCCTCCCACCTTGATGCAGCCCCTTCTTTCCTTCCTGTTGAAGGAGAATGACTTTGACCGCCTGGTGCTGCAATACGCTCCCAGTGCCTGAGTACAGTCCCAGACTCAAGTCCTGGACATGGAAACAGCAATACCAGGGACCCTACTGCCCGCCAGCTGGCACCTGCTCCCCACTCATCCCGTCCTTGGGCTGGAGGTCTGGCCCCTGCATCCCTTATCTGCCAATAAATGTCTTTACTCTGGGGTGTCCCCACCCAGTGCAGTGCTCTGGTCACTTTGGTGGGAGAGGGTAGGAACCAAGGGTCGGAAGGTAGGGTCCCGGGCCTCTGTCAACCGCTCTGCAAATGGAAGTGTCTGCGTGGAGTCCATCGCCCCACTGCTTACATGCCACAGGTCCCGCACTCCTGAGCTGCAGTTTGTGGAGCCCAGTCCCTCCCTGCGGCCCTCATGCCACAGCCTCAGTTGGTATTCAGGGGAACAGACACAGGTCCATCATGCAGTTGTCATGGAGGGTGTTGAGATTCAAACCCAGGATCGTCTGTCGGTCCGGAGGTGCGGGCAGGAGCAAGCCCAAAGCACCCAGGCCTCTGCCCAGCAAAGCAGGGAGGATCCCAGGCCTCTGTTCCTCACCATTGTCCTGTGCTGAATTGAGACTTGGCAGTGGTCGGGGCCCTTGGGCCCTGGGACACCATAGTGGGCAGGTACCAAGATTCTGCCCCTCCCAGACAGAAATTTGTAGAGAGCCAGACACTAAAGGGGAGGTGGGTGGCAGGGCTGGGGGTGGGAGAGAGGAATGGCTGGAAGAGCCACTCAGGTGAGGTCGCCAATGAGCTGTGCCCATCCAAATAAGCAGCTTCCAGGCCAGGTTCTGGGACATGAGCATCCATGGCCCAGACACACCTGTGTGGGAGCCCAGAGTCCTCTCCGGATTGTCATGGTGAGCTGGATGGGACAATGTGCCCTTGGCCACTGGCCAGTGTCTGGCTTTGGCCTCAGCTTATCTCCTGTGGAGGAGATACGACACTTGGGTCCAGGCCTTGGGGGTGGCCACCTGAAAGAACCCAGTCCTTGGTTGCCAGAATATGACAACAGATGACACCCATCCCCCAGCTCCTTCCTGCCCAGCTGGGGAGGGAGGTGGCAGAAAGGCCTTCCCTGGGCAGTGGCATCAGGATCCTGTTCCCAGTATGCCTTCTGAGAGAGGAGGCCTGTCCTCTTGAGGCAGAGAAGGGACACCGGTGTCATGAATGACCCTCAGCGGCCCTTGTTCTCTGCTGTCGGTGCCAGAAGCCACTTTCCATCCCTGCCTGCACCCACCTGTGGGTGGCCTCCTGACTGGACACACCCAAAAGAAACCTGAGGCTGAGCTGGGGCTGGTGGGCAGGCAGCACTTCTCCCATTACTGATGGGCACCATAGTGACCAGATAGTGCTCAGTGGGAGGTGGATAGAGGAAGAGGGGAAGGTCCAGGGCTGCCCCACAGGCCAGGTCAGACCTGGGGAGCACACCCAGCGAGGCCTGAGCCCCCTTCCCCACCTCAGAGGCTTCCATGTTAGTGACCTTTCAGGCCTCTGCTGGCCCTGAATTGACCAGGCCAGGCCTCCTGCCACCCACTACGCATAACACCTGCTGGGCTTGTCACCTCCCCTACCCACATTCATGAGTAGGATGGGGCTGGAGTTGTGGTTCAGTAGCACAGCACTTGCTCACACGGGTGAGGCACTGGGTTCAACCCTCAGCATTACATAAAAACAAGTAATAAATTCTGTTTGTTTGTTTTTTTTCTGAGATGGAATCTCACACATGTAATCCCAGTGGTTGTGGAGGCAGAGACAGGAGGATCGTGAGTTCAAAGCCAGCCTCAGCAAAAGCAAGGCACTAAGCAACTCAGTGAGACCCTGTTTCTAAATAAAATAGTAAATAGGGCTGGGAATGGGGCCCGGTGGTCAAGTGCCCCTGAGTTCAATTCCTGGTACCCCCCGAAATTATTTTTAAATATCCCCTTTAAAAAAAAAGGGATGAGTAAGATGAACAATGGGGTAGTGACAAGAAGACTGAGGAGAGGGTGGGACTCAGGGAGGTGCACTGAGTAGGTGACATCTGAGTAAAGCCAGAAGGAGGTAAGGGAGACCCCTGCAGCTACTAGGAAGGGTGTTGCAGGCAGCCCTTGGTGTTGCAGGAACAGCCGGAGGCCACATGGCCTGAGGATGCAGCAAGCGGGGGAAGGAAGATGGGGGGGGTGGGCTGAGTTGGTGGAGAGCTGTTTTTTTCTGAGATTGGAACCCGGGAGGGCTGTGAGCTTGGCAGGAAAGCGCCCTCGTGTTGGAAGGTCCTTTGGCCTCTGTGTGGGGTAAGGAGTTAGGGCAGGACAGCAGACAGGAGGCCCAAGGTGGTCCCAGGCAGCACAAGGACCAGGAGGTGCAGTGCAGAGAAGTGGCCAGATAAGGAACCTCTGAAGCTAGGGCTACCGGTGCTGCCGGACTGGATGTGGGGGGAGAGGCAGAAGGCTCCCGTGACCCCCCCTCCGGGGTCTTCACCAGCACGTCAAGGTCAGGATAGACTGGTGATTGTGGAACCAGTCTGGCTCCTGTGGGGCCCATCCCTGCATCCTGACCCTTGAAGGCCAGGTAAGGGAAATCGTAGCAGCTAGGAGGTGGGGCAGCAGTGTCAGGTGAGGCGTTTCCAACAAAGGTGACCAGTACCCTCATTGATAGTTTTTGGGGAATTTGGGCCAGGGGTTGTTCAGTGGTTGATGGAGAGTGGTCCCCAGGGTGGTCTCAAATTATGATCTTAATCCAGCTTCTCTGAGTCTTCCCACAATGACACCCATCCCCTTGGCCTCCCGCAAGGCCTGTGTTGACCTGATGCTGGGGAGGCCTGCTGGTCCCCAGTCTCTTAGAGCAGCAGCAGATGACCCTCAGACTGACCCAGCTCTCTCTCTCTTCCAGGGAGGCCCCTAATGTTAGCAGCCCCAACCTCACTATCTGCCTCTGAGTCCCTAACCACCTACCACTGGCCCGAGGAGCAAAAGCTAGGAAGTGTCACAGGTCCCCAGCCCAATGATGCTCTGCCTGCTAGGAGCCTCGTGGGAAAACAGGGTGAATCTCCACGAGGGGAGTTTTCCTTATGTCTCGCGTGGGCTCTGTCTTTTTGGGGAATGAGAAGTTTCATGTACCCTACCCTTCTGAATGTGGGAAGGCCACAGGATGGTCCCTGAAGCTGGATTTGAATGCCTCAAATCCACCAGGTGGGAGGGCTCTAGGAAACGGTAAAGGTAGGGGGGACGGTATTGGCGCAGGAGAGACAGGCTGGAGGGCCCGGAAGAGAGGGTGTTGCCGGCCGAGGACACTGCCTGCTGATGCCCGCAGTGCCCCAAGCCGCGGACATTATGTGGTGGGTACTGAAGCAGGGGGTGAGGACACGGGTAGCGACAAGGGGTCGCACGGAGCCTGCTGGGGATCTAGGTCCACCCGCCCGCCATCCCGCCTCGGTGTCCGCGCAAGAATAGCGGTGCGAGCTAGGGCCGGCCTCCAGGACGCCCCGCAACTCCTCTGCCGCCCCTCTCCGCGCCCCTGCTGGGGCGGAGCTTGCGTTGACCCCGCCCCTCCGTCCTCTGCGCTCCAGCCGGCGCGCCCCCGGCCCAACTGCGGCGCGTGACGCGGGGTGCGCGGCTCCGGCGGCCACCGCGGGCTGGCGCAGGCAGCAGGGGACAGCCAGAGAGCCGGCTGCATGGCGGCGGCAGGGACCGCAGCAGGGCCGGCGGGGCCCGAGCCCATGCCGAGCTACGCGCAGCTGGTGCAACGGAGCTGGGGCAGCGCGCTAGCGGCAGCGCGGGGCTGTGCGGACTGCGGCTGGGGACTGGCGCGCCGCGGCCTGGCCGAGCACGCGCACCTGGCGCCGCCCGAGCTGCTGCTGCTGGCGCTCTGCGCGCTTGGCTGGACCGCGCTGCGCTCCGCGGCCACCGCGCGCCTCTTTCGGGTCAGTGAGAAGCGGGGCCGGGACATGGGGACCCTGGGTTGCAGGGAAGGGGGCCCTGGACGAGGGATTCAGGGCAGCCACGCGTCCCTTTCTGTCAATGCTAGCCAAGGGGGGATGTTATTGGAATGTGGTGGTCCATGGTCTAGAAGGGCCCGGGACATTGGGGCCTCCAGACAAGAGACCCTGGGCCGCTGCGCGCCCCTTTCGATCAGTACCAGGTGGGAAGGTGGGGGTGGATGCGGGGGTGTGGCCGGGCTGGGGTGATCCCAGGATGTAAGGCGCCCGGTGCTGGTTAGGTGTTCTGGACATGGGAGAACCAAAGCACGATCCTTCCTGGTCCGTTTGGGACAAGGGGCCCCGCATGGTGGGGGGACTCGGGCCTCTGCACGGTCTCTCAGGCAGGGCCGAGCTGGGGACCAAGAAGTCCAGGACGTGGACCAAGAGGCCTCGGCTTACGGAAGTCGCCGGCTCCTTGCGTCTGCATGGCCTTGCGGAGCGCGCTGGAGGACCGCTGCTCAGCCTCCCCGGGGTTCGTGCAGCGGCGGGGCCCGCTGCCCATTGCTACCGGCCAGAGGCCGGAGCCTCCAGATCGCTGCCTCGCGCCTGTCTGGGGTCAGCGCCACCCTCCGATCAGAGGTGGCAAATGCCTGGGCGTCGTGGCCACGTTTGTGGTCTCTGCCTTGGGGGTGACATGGCCTGGGTCTTTGGGGATGGACTATGCTGCCTCCAAGAGGCGATGACTGAATCACCGAGTTTCTGGAAAACCTGAGGAGGCCACCTCCCAGGTCAGAGAGTGACAGGTGGTGACATTGACTCTGACCCCTCTCCCTTTCCTGGGAAGTCATGTTTGTGGCAGGAGCTGATGGAAAGGCATCTGGGCCTCTAACTTGGCTGCGACTCCCCCGGGACTGGCTGGGGGTCACCCCACCCCAGTCTGACTGGAGGTGGTGTAAAGGGTGCGGGGGGACAGAGAGCCCAGTGCCAACAAAGAGGCCTTTCTCTGCTGGCTGGGAAGAAGCTGGCCCTTGTTAGGTCAAGATAGGGTGTTGTCTGCTGCCACTGTGCCCACCCTGTCTCCATATCACCCACAGGAGGGAGAGATCCCCTCCCCCACCTTGCTCTAGGGAGGGGGAGGCAGGTGTGGGGAGGGCTGCTCCACAGGTTAACCCTGTTCTTCAGTTGCCTCCATCCGCCTCCCCCAATTTTCAGCTTCCCAGGCTCTTGAGGGTGAAAGCTGGCAGGGTGATATGGCCCTTTTTGGCCACCAGGGCAAATAGGTGCTTCCTCCCAACCTTCCTGAGTGACCTGGGTAGGGCACAGCAGGACCATGTACATCCGCACTTTGGAATCCTGAAGCGCCCTCCCCAGCCTGGGTGGGGTGTTCTCCCCAATCCCAGCCTCGCCCTTCCCCAGAAATGGGCGGAGGGGCTGCCTGGTTCTCCAAAGCTCATCTTCTTGGCAGGAGCCCGGTTGCCAGGGGTTACCAGAGCTGGCTGTGGCTGTCTCCATGACAACTGCTCTGGGCTCCTGCGGCCCCCTCAGCCCAGGGGAGCAGGCGGGGCTTGGCCTGTAGCTCTGGAACCCCACCCCTAAAGAGCGGGAGCCTCCTCCCCTTCTTGTCCCTGACCTTTCTAATTCCTGGTGGCTCCCCTTGCATGGCCACACTTCTGTGTTCTCCCTGATGTCCCCCAAAGCCCCCCGTCCACCTCTGACACCTCCTCCATCTAAGCCCTTTCTCCCCCAGCCCCATCTTTTGCTCTTTCCGCCTCCCCAGGTCCCTGTCCTCCACACCTGTCCCGTCCTCCCTGGCCTTCGGTTCTTCTCTGGTTCCTCAAATGCCCCCTCCCAAGCACCTTTTCCCCTCGCCTTCTCCCTCTCCCCTCATGTCTCCCCAGGGGATCCCTTGGGTTTTCCAGCCTCCCGTGGCCCCCAGATGCCTCCAGATCTCCTTTATGGTGCCCCCATCCATCTTCATGCCTTCTAATTCCTCCTCCTCCTGATTGTACCCCAAGCTCACCCTGTGACCCGAGCCGGGTTCCCCCAGGCTGACCCCGTGGGTCTCTGTCACTTAAGCCCAGTGTCTCCCTGCTGGCCCTCCCGTCTTCTCTAGCCTTTTCGCAGTCTCCCCCTCTCTTCCCTCCCCAGTGCTGGGGCCTCGTGGGCTGGACAGCTGGGCGCTAAGTTTAGCCCTTGGCAGACACACCTGGGCTCTGGTTGCTCCAGGCAGTTATGGGCATGGGGGCCGGGCCCTCCCCAGCCTTGCCCTTCCTGGGGAGCTCCGGGGCCCGTTTCCTCAGCTGATGGAGTAGCTCCTGGTCCTGGGGCCAACTACCACCCACCTTCTCACCCACAGCCCCTGGCCAAGCGATGCCGCCTTCAGCCCAGAGATGCTGCCAAGATGCCTGAGAGCGCCTGGAAGTTTCTGTTCTACTTGGGCTGCTGGAGCTACAGTGCCTACCTGCTCTTTGGCACTGACTACCCCTTCTTTCATGACCCACCCTCTGTCTTCTACGGTAGGGATCCTTTAGGGGTGGGTGGGGTGGGCTCTGCTTAAAACACACTAAAAACAGGGCCCTTGGTGCTGCTGGGGGTCAGAGGAGCCCCCTGGAGGAGGTGATCCCTGCACGGATCAAGGTGAACATTTCAGGAGTCAGTACCAGCATATGCAAAGGCTCTGGGGCACTTACGAGGTTGTTACTTGAGAACTAAAAGAGTGGCTGCTGCAGCTCTTGACAGGAGATGGAGTTTCATTCTAAAGGGAGGGGTTTAAGAAAGGGATGGAGAGGGCGTTTGTGGGTGATAAAATGTTTCCTCTGCAGCTGGGTGGAAACGAGAGTCTCCCCAGTGTCTTGACCTATCTTGGCAAGGATATAAAGATGATGAGAGGTGGCTTCCCCCAGTTGGTTGATTTGATGTGGGCATCACAGAGGTTGGGCAGGAAGGTGGCTACAGAGGCGCTGGGTGGCCTGTCCCAGCCAAGGAGGCAGGGCAGGGCTAGCATTGGCCACGTGGCACAGAAGAGTCCACCTGCAGTGGGGTTCCAGCTCCTCTGCTCTGTGCTGAACACCTGGGCTGAGTTTCTGAGTCACATGTCAACAGCGTTTCCTGCCATTTGACAGGAACAGACTGGGGGGGCTTCCACGGGCACCAAGCCACAGTGGGGGGCCGTGGCCTGGGAGCACACACCACGCAGGTTTTCCGCCTCCTGAGTCCTTGGAGGGACCAGTCTGGCTGAAGTGTAACTGATCTCCCTTAGGGTTCAGGGGCATGGAGTTGCCTTTGGCTTCTTATCAATTATGCTTTCAAGTGAGCTGTTTCAATGTGCATTGATTGAGCACCTACTGTGTCCCACTTGCTGTGTAGACACAGCCAGGAGCGGGTAGAGAAAGCACGTTGTCCATGCAGTGCTGACTGTGGCGCGGACAAAGTGAGGGATGCCATCTGCTGATGGCAGGAAGTGCCCCCGGAGAGTCTGGGCAGCAGACGGTAATGGGGTGCTGGGGATGGGGGCCAGGGGCAGTTTTCAAGAGGGATAGGGATGGCCTGTCACTGAAGGGGACTTTGAATGAGGGCCAGGAGAAGAGCAGGACAGGCAAGAACGCAGTGGCCAGGGTAGTGGGGATGGCGGGAGAGGGGCAGTGGGCACCTAAGGCCTCGGAGACCATGGTGAGGGTTTGGGACAAACCTGAGGGCTATGAACAGAGGCGGGAAGTGACAGACCCTGCCATTGGCTGGCATTGGCTGGCATTGGCTCTCTGTCACCAAGGCTGCAGAGGGGACTGAGGACGGGGTTTAGGAGGCACTCACCAGGACACACGGGGCCCCGGGGACAGGAGTGGCCGATTGGAGAAATGCTCAGGAAGTAGAGCCGAGAGGCTCAGCAGCCCAGCGGAAGTGGGTGTGTGAGGAAGGCGGGTCCCTGGGCGAGGTCTGGGATGGGGGCTTGATGCCGAGTCAGGAAGTGAGGAGGGGACAAGGTGGGAGGACACTGGGTGTCCAGGTCAGCAAGTAGATGCAGGTGACGAGGGGCCGGAGAGTAGTTGTGAGGCCCCTGGGTGAGCCCATCCGGTTGGGGGTTCTGGTCGGGGGACACCAGGGAGCCCCTTGTTGGAAGGTTGGCTGAGGTGGGGCCAGAGCTAGCGATCCTGGTGGCCAGAGGCAGATTTCTAGAGTCAGGCTGGAGAGGAACCAGGAGCTGGGGTGCAGAGGGCAGGGAACTGGGGTGCAGAGCCTTCTCTTGAGTTTTGTCCAGTTCCTGGGAGGTCGAGCAAGGGCTGTGGGCCCAGGGAGGAGGAGGACAAGCAGGTGGTCCTCTTGCGTCAGGTGTCTGGTGAGGTGACTGTGGTCCAAGATGTCCTAAGGGTGTCAGGGAAGGCTGCAGTGGACAGTCAGGCTCGGAAGTGGCCCAGGCTGGTCAGTAAAGCACATGTCCCCTGCCTGTGCCCCAGATCTGTGGCCCTAGCCTGGAGGAGGACGCTTTGTAGTAGTGGCAGGACACAGAACCTGGGGGCCGGCGGGCAGGAGCTCCAGGTGTGTGAGTGCATTTCCCCCGGGGCTGCCAGTGCACCAGCCCTGATGGTCCTCAGCACAAATGGCTGTCCTCGGTCCCCAGCCTGCTCCTGCCCTCCTCTCTGGAGCTCCTACCACGGGCTGGCCGGACACAGCTCTCTCCAGAGAGGTGGCCAGAGGTGGCCACCGTGTAGAAGAGGCTCCGATGGGTCAGGATCCCAGAGGGACAGATCCAGGACCCACATGGGAGCAGTAGGAGGCCCCCTGGGGTTCCAGTGGGCATGGCTTGGATGTCAACTTCAAAGTTAAGGGTGGAAGAGGGACGAAGCCACCCAGCTAGTGTGCAGGTGGGGCGAAGGGCTAGAAGCTCGGGACCTGGAGGGGCTGCAGCGTTCCCAGGCAGCCAAGGACAGAGCATCAGGTGGCCAAGGACAGAGCATGAGGTGAGAGTCTAGCCAGGAGCGTCGTTTTTGCTTTGGGGAGCCCCTGGGTGGGTTCAATGGGGCGGAGCTGGGGGAATGGGATCCGATTCATGAGATTTTTTTTGGGGGGGAGGGGAGTACCAGAGATTGAACTCAGGGGCACACGACCACTGAGCCACCTCCCCAGCCCTATTCTCTATTTTATTTAGAGACAGCATCTCACTGAGTGCCTAGCGCCTTGCTTTTGCTGAGGCTGGCTTTGAACTCACAACCCTCCTGCCTCAGCCTCCTGAGCCACTGGGATTACAGGCCTGTGCCACCGCCCCTGGCCATGAGATGTTTTTTTTTTTTTTTTTTTTACATTTTTTAAATTTATGTGAAATTATCATTACATGAAAACCATTTAGCCAGTCACAAAAAAAGATAAATGCTGTGTGATTCCCCTTCTGGGAGACCCCTTAGTTGTCACATAGACAAAAGGTAGAATGGTGGGTGCCAAGGGCTGGGGGAGGGGAGCGGGGTATGGGTTTAATGGGGACAAAGTTTAAGTTTTGCAAGAGTCCTGAGCAATTTGAATATACTTAATGCCCCTGAACTCACAGATGACCAGGATGGTATCAGGGTTCCTTATCAGAGTTCCTTAATTTGTTTGTTTGTTTATTCATAAGACAGGGGGCTCACTGTTACCCAGGCTGTCCCTGAACTCCTTAGTTCAAGTGATCCTCCTGCTTCAGCCTCCCAAGTAGTTGGGACTACAGGTGCCGCCACCACACCTCGTGAAAATTAACCAGCGGTTTAAGCCAAGTGCAGTGAACAGAACCCAGCTCTTTCAGAGACTGACGTGGGAGGATCATTTGAGCCCAGGAGTTCGAGGCCAGTCTGGGCAACAGAGGGATATACCTCATCTCAAAATAAATAAACAGCTGGGCACAGTGACACACACCTGTCATCCCAGCAACTCGGGAGGCTGAGGCAGGATGGCGAGTTCAAGGCCGGTCTCAGCAAGTTTTCGAGGCCCTAAGCAACTCAGTGAGTCCCCATCTCAAAACAAAAGAAAAGGGCTGGGGATGGGGCTCAGTGGTGAAGCACCCCGGTGCCAAAAATTAAATAAATAAATAAAGTGAACAATTGAGAGGCACATTCACAGCACTGTGTAAGCACCAGCTCTATCTAGTTCTACAGCATTTCCATCACCCCCAGAAGAAACCCTGTCCCCATCAGGAGTCCCCCTCCGTTCCTCTCCCCCGCCCCTGACACCTGCTTATCTGCTTCTTGTCTCTGCGGATTTGCCTGTTCTGGGTATCTCTCTCCTTTTCAGATGTTTTATCTTATTTTGTGTTAAAGGCTTAAATCATCCACATCAGTGGGGTGCGGTGTGGTACCTCACCAGGTGCACAGGGTGCGCACTGACTCGCCCAGGCCCCTCATCCACGCTCCCTTTTCCCGTCCACCCTCTTGCTGTAATTGCTCTTGTACTCTTAGGTCGGCTTGTTTTCCATTTTCGTTTTGGTGTCCGCCAGGAGAGCCAGCTGCAGTGTTTGCCTTCTGTGCCTGGCTTGGTTCACTTAACACCATGTGCTCCAGTTCTATCCAACTGGCTGCGAATGGTAGGGTCTTGTTTTCCTTTAGGACTGAATAATATTTCACCGTGGATCTGTCCATCTGGTGATGGTCACTAGGCTGATTCCACATCCGAGCCTCTGTGAATAGTGCTGCGATCCACACGGTTATGCGGGGGTCTCTTGGGCACTCTCACTTTAGGTGCATTCTTGAGCGGGGTTGCAGGATCACATGGAACTTCTATTTTTTAGTTTTTGGAGGAATCTCCCCACTTTTCTCCACAGTGGGTGTGCTAATTCACATTCCCATCAACAGTGTATCAGAGTTCCTTATTTGCCACATCTTCACGAGCATTTTTAATTTTGTTCTTTTTGTTTTTCTATAATAACTATTTTAACTGAGATTAGGTCATATCTCATTGTAGGGGTTTTGTTTGTTTTATTTTGTTCTTGATACGGGAGATTGAACCCAGGGGTGCTTATCACTGAGCTGCATCCCCAGCCCTTTCTATTTATTTATTTGTTTGTTTGTTTGTTTTTGAGACAGGGCTAAGTTACTGAGGATGGCCTTGAACTTGTGATCCTCCTGCTTCAGCCTCCCATCACTGTAGCTTTGATTTGCACTTCGAAGCTATTCTGGAGGCTGGAGCAAGAGGATTACAAGTTCAAGGCCAGCCTCAGCAATTTAGTGTCATCCTGTCTCAATAAAAAGGGCTGGCATGTAGCTCAGTTATGGAGCGCACCTGCATTCAATCCCAGTACCCCCCCCCCCAACACACACACACATTGTTTGGCTGCTCAGAGTCCTTTGTGCTTCTGTATTAACTCTAGGATTGTTTTTTCTATTTCAGTGAAGAATATCATTGGTATTTTGATGGGAATTGCATTGAACCTGTAGACTGTTTTGGGTCTCCATAGGGACATTTTAACCATATTAATGCTTCCAATCCATGAACATGGGATATCTTCCCTCTACACCATGTTGAAGGTTCCTTAAGCTGCTTTGGCTGTAATTAATGACTCTGAACACAGTGCATACAGAGACACAGTCAAAGAGACCCACTGTCTCTGGGAGCCACAAAGGGATGGGGACGCTCTAGAGGCTCAGGAAGGGGTGATGCAGACATCAGTGGGTGTGTGAGGCTCACTGTATGGCCACTCCTGCAGAGGGAATGGGGTCCCCTGTCAGGTGTTGCACTGAGGAGACAGAGCTATGCTCTTGCAAGGCCCTCTGACTCTGGCAGGTGGCACTGGTAAGGGGCCTGAAGCACTGACCTCCAGCCAGACAGTGCTGTGTGCTCAGGCACTGCACAGGGGGAGAGGACCCCTGGAACTGTGGCTGGCACACCTTCTCTGACTGCAGCACTCGCCCAGATATGGCCCAGGGGTGGGGTGGCAGTGGGAACCCAGTACGCAGGGGTAGGGTGGCCACTGGAGCTGTGGCCCTCCTCCCACCCCTGTAGCAGTGCACTCCCAGGCATGGCCTGTGGCGGGAGGGGGGGGCAGCAGTGACCCCAGGGGCACTTGGCATGGCTGTTGTATCCTGACCCCAGGGGGCGAGCTCCTAGTGTTCTGGACGTCACTGTGCCGTGCCAGCCATCCCCTGCAGTGAAGGGTGCCGAGTGGGCTTCGGGGCTGGGGCCACAGTTGCCCTCTGGGTCCCTGAGGCTGCAGCCCCTACCCAGTGCAGGGCAATGTCCATGGTGTCCCAGAGATAAGGATCTGCAGGACTCTCTGATGCTAGAACAGCCCGGACTCAGACCAAATCTCCCTCCTCAAATGGACACCCTGCTGCAGCAGCCTGGGAGACCATGTGCATCCCTCCACAAGCAAAGCTCATGGGCACCGCCTGGGTCACTCCCTAACTGGGCTGCAAGCCTGTGAAGGCTGTGGAACTTTCCAGTAGCCAGGATTACCTGCTTCCATGCTGATAGTTTGTGGGACACCACCATTTCCCCCTGCGAGGGGGGGGGTCCTTTCTCCCCTGGATGGTGCTACTGAGCACTTTGTGCCTCTTTTGGTTGCAGTAGCCCGGGGGCTTCTGAGTCTCAGAAGGTTCTGTTCTCTCTGCAGCCAGTTCCCATGTTTTGTCACGGTCTGGTCACCTCCAAATCAATAAACTGCTACCTGGTTCTTCTTGGTGAAGGAGGAAGCAAGGGCTGAGAACCTCTATCCCACGTCATCCTGAAACCCCTCTGTTCTGGACATTTCTATACATAGAATCTTGCCAGGTGGCCTTTGTTTCCCTCCACATCAGGGGTTCGGGGCTCGTCCACGGCCCTGCGCAGGTGCTGCTGTTCCTCCACTCCTCCACTGGGGGGCGCTTGGGTCCTTTCGGCCTCTTGGCAGCGGGGACAGCGCCGCGGGGAGCGGCTGTGCAGGGGCTTGTATGAGACCTGGGCACATCTCTAGGAGCGGAATTTCTGGGTCACTGTGGTATGGCCACCGAGGAGGGAGGGAGCGGACTCACTGGGTGGGAGGCACCACTGCCCGGACCAGGTTGCGGACCAGGTGGAAAGGGGAACGAGCAGGGGCGTGATGGAATCGTTCGTGGAGGACTGTCACTGACGTGGGGACGTGGGTGCATCTGGATTCCCAGGGAACATAAGAGTCTAGCTTCAGGTCACTGGGGCCAGAAGCAGGACCCCCCCCCCCGATGGAGCCCCGAGAAGTTTCTTTTTCAGGGGTGGGAGGGTGGCTGGGCAGGGGAGGCGTGGCCAGAGGGAGGGACAGCACAGGCGGCTCCAGGCTGATGCGAGCACAGCAGTGGTGGTCCTTGGCCTCGGTAGCTGATGGCCCCTGTGACTGGCTGAGCCGAGAAGGAGACATGGTGGTGGAGGGCAGGGAGGGGCTCCTGCCTTGGCCTGAGGGTGCAAGTCCCCCAGGACGGTGGACAGATCTCCAAGAGGCTGTGAGCTGGCCAGAGAAGATGGGAAGGGAAGCCGGGCACAGAAATCCTGCGGGGGAGGAATTTCAGGATCAGGAGCATCTTGGAATGCACTAGAGAGTAGCAAGGAATTGTTTAATAAAAAATGTCTCTGGGCCAGGAGCGGTGACATCTGTGATCCCAGCTTCTCAGGAGTCTAAAGCAGGAGGATTGCAAGTTCAAGACGAGCAACGTGGACCCTGTCTTAAAAACTTTATGCCATCTGCTGGGCATGGTGACTATGGCTGTAATGCCAGCGGCTGGGAGGCTGAGGCAGGAGGATCACCAGGTTGAGGCAGGTCTCAGCAACTTAGTGAAACCCTCAGTAGTTTAACGAGATGCTATCTCTAAATAAAATATTTTTAAAGGGCTGTGGGGTGCTGGGGTTGTGGCTCAGTGGAAGAGTGCTTGCCTAGCACATGTGAGGCACTGGGTTCAATCCTCAGCACTTCATAAAAATGATTAAATAAAAGTATTGTGTCCAAATACAACTAAAAATATTTAAAACAAAAAGTTCTGGGGATGTGGCTCTGTGGTTAAGCGCCCCTGGGTTCAATGCCTGATACAAAAACAACAAAAAACCTTTCTATACCATCCACTCACAATTTCTAGGAATCTAAACTAAACTGCTCTATCAAAATAACACCTATTAATAAAAAACGATGGGTAGAGAACCAGGAGAGAGAGCCAGCAGTCAGTACCCTGCAGGGACTCATGGTCACTCTGGCACTCAGAGGACACGTGCCCAACATGAGGGGTGTCACGGGGCCACAGGGGTGAAGGTTCCTGACCACAAGTCTGGCTGTTCCCAGACTGGACGCCAGGCATGGCGGTGCCGCGGGACATTGCAGCCGCCTATCTGCTGCAGGGGAGTTTCTACGGCCACTCCATCTACGCCACGCTGTACATGGACACCTGGCGCAAGGACTCGGTGGTCATGCTTATCCACCATGTGGTCACCTTGGTCCTCATCGTCTCCTCGTATGCCTTCCGGTGAGTACAGGGTGGACAGGCTGGCAGAGGGGACAAGAGGGGGCAGAGCTGGGAGCCAGCTCAGACCAAGGTGCAGAGGCTGATGCCACCATGGGGGACCTGTAGGAAGGCCTTGGAGGAAGGACAGGTCAGAGGTGGGGGCAAACTGTCAGGAGTATGCACAGAGAGACTGAGATTCTGGAAGGATGGGGTGAAACTGGCCCAGAGAGCCACCTTGTCACACAACCAGTGTCCCTGGATCTCTACCGGGATGGTACCCTTGGCTGAGTCACAGCAAGGGTTTCTTGGAGGCACGTCTGTGATCACAGTAGACACATCCTGACATTCTAGAATCCAGCAACTGTGGTAGCTGGGCACAGTGGCCCACACCTGTGATCCCTGGGTCTAGGGAGGGAGGCTAAGGCAGGAGGATTTGCAAGTTCAAGGCCAGCATTAGCAACTTACCAAGGCCCTAAGAAGCTTAATGAGATTCTGTCTCAAAAAATAAAAAGGGCTGGGGATGTGGCTCGGTGGTTAAGCACCCCGGGTTCAGTCCCCAGGACCAGAAAGAAAAAAGCTTCACATACAAAAAGGAATGTGAGAAATATCTGTCCATCTTTTTTAAATTTTTTTTTTTTGCAGTTGTAGATGGACAGCATGCCTTTATTTTATTTGTTTATTTTTATGTGGTGCTAAGGGTCGAACCCAGTCCCTCACACATGCAAGGCAAGCGCTCTGCCACTGAGCCCCAGCCCCAGCCCTATCTGTCCGTCTTTTTGTTATCTTGGATTACATATTGAGATGCTTTGGATATACTGAATCAGTCCCCCCCCATATACACACACATACATACACACATACATATATATGTGCAATGTATATGTAAATTTCATATATATATATATATATATTATTTGTGTGTGTGAGAGGTATGGTACTGGGGATGGAACCCATGCTAGTCACCTTTCAAGTACTCAATGCCAAATGTGCCTGGTGGCTGTCCTATCAGACAGTGCAACATTAGAACATTCCTGTGGTTCTGGAAAGTTCTACAAGATAGCACATCACTGGAGTGTAGAATAAGATGATGAAAGAAAGAAAGAGCATGTAGGCAGCCATCTCCCCCTACCTTTAATGAAAGGAAAGATTCAACAGTTTATTTGAAAGTTGTAAGAACCATGGGGGAAAATTAAGTAGGGGCTAAGGCTGGGAGGTGTCGAGGTTTCAGTGGGTGGTTGACTGACAGGTGAGGAAAGTGTCCTGAACACCTGGGAAGGGTATGTTGGGTGATGGGAATAGCATGTGTAAAGGGCCTGTGGCAGTAATCAGTGAGCTCAGGTAATTAAATGCCCCAGTACAGAGAGAGAGAGAGAGACAAGAATGACCTCAAGCCACCGAGCCCAGTGAAAATTGCCTTGTTGGACCCCCCTTGTCTCGTCAACCCAGATACCACAACGTGGGCATCCTTGTGCTCTTTCTGCACGACTTCAGCGATGTGCAGCTGGAGTTCACCAAGCTCAACATTTACTTCAAGGCCCGAGGCGGCTCCTACCATCGGCTACACGCAGTGGTGGCAGACCTGGGCTGCCTCAGTTTCTGCTTCAGTTGGTGAGTGGGTGGGGTACAGGGTGGGGACTAGCAGGGCAGGGGTGGGCCTGGTGGGGTGGGCGGGGACTGCAGGGCAGGGGTGGGCCTGGTGGGGTGGGCGGGGACTGCAGGGCAGGCGTGGGCCTGGTGGGGTGGGCGGGGACTGCAGGGCAGGGGTGGGCCTGGTGGGGTGGGCGGGGACTGCAGGGCAGGGGTGGGGCTGTGCAGAAGGGGCCAGGCCAGGCTCCTGGAAGCTGCTAGGCAGGAGAGAGGAAGGGTTGAGGGGTGTGGGGCCTGGCGGGTGAGGGGGTGGGTGGGAAAGGGAGGGCAGGCAAGGAGGAGGAGCCGGGTTTTGAGGAAGGGGCGGGGACTAGTGCGGTGGGTGGGGTCTGGCAGGACAGGGGTGGTTCCGAGTGGGGGGAAGGGTGGGACTGAGGGGGGAAAGCGCAGGAATAAAGGTGAAATGGGAGTCCGCAGGGGTGGGGCGGGGAGCACTGGAGGGTGGGGTTATGTAGGGACAGGTGGATGGCACTGGACAGGGCCTGGGTGGGTCCACTGTCCCCTGTTCCCCAGCAGCTTTCCTGACCCACTCTCTGCTCGCAGGTTCTGGTTCCGCCTCTACTGGTTCCCGCTTAAAGTCCTGTATGCCACGTTCCACTCCAGCCTGCTCGCGGTGCCCGACATCCCCTTCTATTTCTTCTTCAATGCGCTCCTGCTGTTGCTCACCGTCATGAACCTCTACTGGTTCCTGGTGAGTCGGCTCACCCACTCTGCCGGCTGTCCCATTCTTGTCCCTATCGCCAGGTGGCAGTCCAGTGGCAGGTCCTTCTCAGGCAGGCAGGGGGAGGGGCATGTTGGGCAACAGTAACAGCACATGCAAGGGGCCTGTGGCAGCAGCGCACCTTGGTCAGAGGGCTGCACAGCAGAGAAAGGGGTTTCCGTCTCACCAGTGCCTTCCCCTCCCCCAGTACATCGTGGCCTTCGCTGCCAAGGTGTTGACTGGCCAGATGCGCGAGTTGAAGGACCTGCGGGAGTACGACATGGCAGAAGCCCAGAGCCCCAAGCCCAGCAAAGCTGAGTGAGTGTGGAGGGGCGGCCGCCCCGAGGTCGTTCCTTTAGTGGCACCGTCTAGGCGGGCTCTGTGGGCAGGCCTCGGAGTTGCGGCGGATGCCGCGATGCCACTGCAGCGATCCCACGGCTCCCCGAGCCTCCGTCCAAAACAGACTGCAGCAAAGGCCTGGATGTCGTAGCTACAGACTTAACCGCTGTGATGGACAGAGCAGCAAGGAGGGGCAGAGAGAGGTTTGGGAGGGGCAGAGAGGAGAGGGGCAGGGTCTCCGCAGTGGGAGCAGAGGGTCAGGCCAGCATCTGGCCAGAGCGGGAAGCCAAGGCCCCGGGTCATGAGGAGCAGCTGTTGACCAGGCCAGACCCACCTCCAACTCACTCCTAACCAAAGCCCGGGGCAGCAGAGCGACCCGGCTTTGTCCCTGCCATGACTTCCTGGCCTCAGAGTCCGGCAGGCCAAGGCTGGGGCTGGGGACTTGGACCCAGTCCAGACGGGGAGGGAGTCCTAGGGAAGAACTAGTGAACCCCTTGGATAGAGAGACCAGGAGCCTCACCAGCCCTCAGTGAAAGTCAGACGCATCTCAAGGCCCAGTGTAGGGCAGGGTCCGGGACTCACTCACGTGAAGGGTCACATGAGGGGCAGGAGGCATTCCAGGTGTGCAGCTCCCCTCTGCCATGTGAGGAGTGAGGAGAGTTTGAGCTGGAGCAAGGACAGGAGGCTGCGGAAGGTTCCAGAGGTGCTGACCAGCCAGGTCCTCTGCTTTGGTCGAGGGGTCATGGTTTCAGGGAAGCAGTGGGCTCAGACCTGAGGAGGTCGGTCTGAATGGGAGTTTTGTAAAAGAGTGAGCAATGAAGAGATTTAAGAATCTTCTCGAAGGACGTGACAAGGGTAACCAAGACCCGGGAGAGGGAGAGCAGTGTGTGGAGACAGCCCCGGCCACTCAAGTAAATGGGCATATTGTTGTACCCGCCAAGCACGGGGCCTGCCAACGGGATGTGCCAGGGCCAGGGAGTTAGCACCTGGAGGTGGAGAGGGCAGGAAGGTGCGTGGGAACAGGGTCACTCACAGACAAGGCTGGGCCACCCCTGAAATTGAGGTTGGGGTGCTATGTGACCACGGGGAGGCTGTCACCATCATCCAGGCACACGGGCAGCGGGTTGTAGCCCCGAGGTGGAGTGTGGTCAGGTGGCAACTCTGAGAGAACCAATCAGATTTACTTTGGATGCAGGTGAAATAGAAATAAAAGAATCAAAGATGACGTAAGACTTTTGGCTCAAACTGCTGTCTACAAGAAGGGATTTGAGACAGGGTATGTGCACCTGCAGATGGGGGCTTTGAGGGTCTCGTCTGGGATATGTGGCATTCTGGCTATCCATTGAATGTACGTCAAGGGCTCAGTCAGGTGTAACTGAGGAATCTTCCAGAAGATTCCAAAGGCTTCCAGTAGCTTCCAGGGGAAGGGGTGACTAAAGAGAATAGGGTAGGGGGAACCTCCTTGGACAAATCCCCAAACCAGAAAGGCTTTCTTGTAGACAGTGAACTCACGGTGGAGATGCCCTGTAAGTTAAGGCCTGAGTCAAGCAGAAGCCAGACCTCCTGGCCCCACCAGTGCCCACTCTTTTCCCCGAGAATGTCAAGCCAGAATGTGGGGTGATGGCCAGCAGCCTGCAGCTTCACGGGAGAGCATCTCCATTAGAACAGCAAAACACGAGCTGTGTCCATGAACTGTGCCCAGCAGTAGAGTGCCAGGGAACACACTGTCGTGACAGACCCCATGGCACCTCCACAGAATGGGATTCTCCAACGAAGGCTAGAGTTAGCACAGCTGGGTATAAAACAAAATGGGATAAAAAGGGTAAAACCAAGGGTGGCTCGTAAAAGAGCTGGTTAGGGCGCCTCCGCTGACAGCATTGGAGGCTGGTGGGTGTTGCTCAGGAGTAGAGCACTTGCCTGGCATGCACGAGACCCTGGTTCTATCCCCAGCAGACAATCAATCGCAGCCAATCAATAAAGGCACCCTGTCGAGATGATGAGAAGCTAGGATATGAGGAGATTAAGGACATGTGACAACTAAATGCAGTGTGAGTTACTGGGCCAGGAAAAGATATTATTGAAAAATTGGTGAAATTCAAATAATACATTGGGTTTGGTTAATAACAATGTAGCAATAATGATGGCTTCTTAGTTGTCTTAGTTGTAGATACCCTGTATCATGGGAATTTAAGGTGGAACATTCTGGAAGCTGGAGAAGGGTATATGGGAGCTGTTTCTGCAACATTTCTGCAAATTTAAAATTACTCTAAAAAACTTATTTTTTTAAAAAAAAGCTTGAGAGGTCATTAAAAGTGGCATTGGGTGTTGTTACTTTCCTAGGGCTACTGTAACAAAATGTCACAAGTGATTGGCTTAAAATACTCAGCTGGGCTCCGTGGTACAGGCCTGTAATCCTAGGGACTCAGAAGGCACAGGAATGTGAATTTCCAGTTCAAGGCCAGCCTCAGCAACTTAGCAAGACCCTGTCTCAAAACAAAACAAAATAGAATTGGGAATGTGGCTCAGTGGTTAAGATCCCTCCTGCCTCTTCCGGCTTCTGAGGGTTCCAGGTGTTCCTTGGCTTTTGGCTATGTCCCTTCCTCTGTCTCCATATGGCCACCTCCTGTTTTTTCGATCTTGTCTTTTCTTTCTTTCTTTTTTTTTTGGTGTGGAGGGGGTATGGGGGATTGAACTCAGGGGCATTCGACCACTGAGCCACATCCCCAGTCCTATTTTGTATTTTATTTAGAGACAGGGTCTCACTGAGTTGCCACCTGACCACACTCCACTTTTGCTGGGGCTGGCTTTGAACTGGCGATCCTCCTGCCTCAGACTCCAGAGCCACTGGGATTCAGGCATGTGCCACCGCGCCCAGCCGTCTCTTCTCTTTTATGTGGACAGTTGTCAACCTAAATCTAGGATGATGTCATCCTGAAATTCTTCACTTAGTTGCATCTGCAAAGACCCTTTTTTCAAATAAGGGCATACATACAGATTCTAGAGATTGGGATGTGGACATATCTGTGGGGCCACCATTCAACTCACTGCCATCATTAAATCTCCATTAGATATAGCTGAAGAGACAATCAGTAAATTGAACACTGAAGAAGAATATCCAGAACACAGCATAAGTAGATGGAAAACAGGAAAGCCAGGATTATAAGAATCATAATCTAGGAGTTCTAATAAGAGACAGGGAGAGGAGAAACAATATGAGAAGATGTAATGCTGAGAACTTTCCAGAAGTGACAAGACATAAATCATAAGCAGAATAAATTTAAAAAGTATGTCTGCGACCCATCAAAGCGAGAATAGAAATCAGCTATGAGGAAAAAGAGACGGGACCTGAAAACCGTCTCAGACAACTGCAGCAGGCAAACCAGCAGATGAGGAGGAAGAGTCGCTTCAAGGGTGGACAGATGACAACCAACTCAGAATTGTGTACACAATTTAAAAGCAATTACTCAAGAGAGAGGACACCCACAGGAAAAAACAAAACAAAACCAAGAAAGTACTGCCAGTAGATCTAGTCCCAGCCACTTGGGAGTCTGAGGCAGGAGGATCCCTTGAGCCCACAAGTTCCAGACCCTATCTCAAAAACAAGAACCAAACAAACACATTTTAAAGCCCCAATTTGAGAAATTTTATTTTTACTTTTGGGTTAAGTGTTTCTGACCTTCCTCCCTCCCTCCCTCCCCCTCTTTCATTTTTGTTATTGTTGTTACTGAGGATTTAACCCGGGCGCCCCAACCACTGAGCCACACCCCCAGCCTGTTTTTATTTTTTGAGACAGGGTCTCACTAAGTTGCTGAGGCTGGCCTCAAACTTGTGATCTTCCTGCCTCAGCCTCCCAAGTCATTGGGATTACAGGAGTGTGCCACCTCACCTGGCACAACATGGAATAATAATAATTATCATTATTATTTTTGTTTTTTAGAGAAAGAATTTTTTTTAATACTTATTTTTTTAGTTTTCGGCGGACACAACATCTTTGTATGTGGTGCTGAGGATCGAACCCGGGCCGCACGCATGCCAGGCGAGCGTGCTACCACTTGAGCCACATCCCCAGCCCAATAATAATAATAGTAATAATTATTATTATTTTGAAACTGGACATTTGACCCAGGGACACTTAACCACTTAACCACATCCCCAGCCCTTTTAATTTTCTTAGATTTTAGGACAGGGTCTCACTGAGTTGCTTAAGGCCTTGTTAATTTGCTGAGGGTGCTTTGAACTCTCAAGCCTGCTGTCTCAGCCTCCAGAACTGCTGGGATTACAAGCAATGGAATTCTTTTTATTCTTTTTTTTAAAAAACTTGTTTTTAAAGCTGTGAATAGACCTTTTTTAAAAAAATTTATTTTATATGTGTGCATGAGAATCAAACCCAGTGCCTCTCACTCAAGCGCTCTACCACGAGCCACGACCCCAGTCCCACAAGTTGATGTAGAATATTCCAAATGATGTGGCCTTAGAGCACCAAGGCTATATGACAAGTGACAGTGCTCCAGAGAGGTGGCAGATGCACCATGCTCCTCATTCAAGCAGATCAGAACCAGAGTGACCGTATGTTCTTAAGGATATTGGTAGAAAGTGACCTGACTGAGGCTTAGGGGAACTGGGCTGCTGCCGACGCCAGGATTACAGACTGCATGAAGGAAGTCAACCAGGTTTGAAAACGGAGGCAGCAATGACTAGGAATCACTGTTCAGTAGATCATTCAAGTGTTACGACAAATCCTATGGCAATTAAGTAGTGCCGATCCCGTCCTCACTCCATATTGCTCGGCCCATGTCACTTCCTGGGTGGTCTGAGTTGCTGGTAGACTGCTCTCCTTCACTGACAACCACCCGTCACCTGGGGTCACCATGCCTTCATGGTGCACCTTGCTCTGAAGCCCTCATCTCCCTCTTGAGGCTACTGGGATTGTCCCTCCATCAAGGGACCATTACCTCATTCCAGCTCTGCTGACCTGGGAG